TGTGTGTGTGTGTGTGTGTGGGTGGGTGTGTGTATGTGTGGGTGTGTGTGTGAGTGTGTATGTGTGTGTGTGGGGAGGGTGTAGGTGTGTGTGTATGTGTGGGTGTGGGTGTGTGGGTGTGTGTGGGGAGGGTGTAGGGGTGTGTGTGGTGTGTGTGTGTGTGTGTGTGTCTTTAGGAAGAATCTTGGCTTAGCCACTTTGTCAGAACCGTCTCTAGTTTGTGTGGAAGAATGCCCATCTTACACAATGCCCAGTATCTGATTATCAGGGTCCTTGTTCTGTGGTGATGGCTGACCAGCTGGCTTGTCTGCAGCAAGAATCTGATTCCGTCACTTTAGCCCAAATCATCCTCTCCCAAATAGTTCCTCTTAGTTTTCTCAGAACCCACGCTGCTCTTGACCACAACTTCCTATTTGTCAGGCTGTGCTCAAGGTGAGCCCAGTTTCTCCATGGCATTGGTCCCTGTGCTATCACGTGGTTCCTGGTGACGTCTTCCTGTTGTGCTCTAACAAGTACCATCGATGTTTTCCTTTAACAGTGTGTTTGTGTTTGGACCTGGAAAGGAGTCCCCTGAGTTTGCTTCTCTCCACCCCACCACCCCACCTGTCCTATCTTTTACAGACAGTTCTGTAAGAGTTTTGACTCTCCTGGCTGCCATTCCAACCTCGTGTAATCTGTTACACACAAAGCAACTCTGGTGCCTTAGAGTATGAATAACTTTGTATTCGTCCTTTAATATTCATAAATTGCCACTCTGCTTTACTCTACTCAGCAACCCCAGGATGAACCCAGCCTCATAGCTTAGCTTTGCAAGTCCCTACTGCGCCAACTTCTCCTCTTACCGACCACAGCTGCCTGCTCTTCCCAGTGAGTAAGTGCATTTTTGCATTCGTATCAGCCATTCCTGTTGTCTTCAAGGCTTCTAATAAACCACATTTGGGGTTAGATGTCACTTCCTCATGGGAATCCTGTCCACTGCCATCCCATCATAGTTTGTTTCTGTGGGTGCCTGACTGTGGCTCTGATATCAGTGCTTGCCTGTTGGTTTGCAGTATCTTCTGTTATAAAGTGTGAGACCCAAAGAAGAGACCTAATCTTCCTGACTACCCTAGGGTTCCAACCTGTTCAGTGATCAGAGGAGATGGCATGAAGCTGCGTCTCTGGAGGTCCCCTGCAGGCCATCCCTCAGGCCCAGACTACCCCAGCACGGCAGCACTGTCCTTCACATCTTCTAGATTCCCCGCATCCGGTCTGTCTGTCACTCAGAGAGGGATATGCCAGTTTGGTTCCATGTAGACCAACGCCAAGAGAGTTCTGCTGAAACCTGCTGAAGTCATCTTATAACGCAGTGTCGTTCTAAATAAGCCGCGGTCATGGCCATTGCTCTCTCAACAGCGTTCTAAACGTGGATGCTGAGTAACGAACAGGCACTGTCACATTTAGAGGGAGACATGAAATTACAGGCGTCCCTCAATCTCACCAAAGTGGTAATTTTTGGAGCTTCCATCCTATTCCTTTGAGATGGAGTCTCCCATTCACCTGGAGCTTGCCATTTTTCTGCCGGGTTGATGGCTAGAAAGACCCAGCACTAGGTTTATAGACACACACAGCCGTAATCAGACGTTTGTGTGGGTTCTGGCAATCGCAGGTCTTCGTGATTGCTAAGCAAGCATTCTTGCCCACTCAGCCATCATGCTAGCCCACAAAAATGAATCTCACGCAACCATCGGTTCATTCATTCATTTATGGTTTTTTGAGGCAGAATTTCTCTAGCTCTGTAGACTGTAGCCCAGGCTGGCCTTGAACTCACAGAGAATCCCCCTGCCTCTGCCTCCTGAGTGCTAGGATTAAAGGTGTGCACCACCACCACTCAGCACATGTAATCATTCTTTAACCCTTATACTTCATCCACCTTTTTTCACTTTTTCTGTATAAAAATATTTAGAGTTTGGGAGGTAGATGAGTAGGTGCTTGGTGCATAAGCACAAAAGCCAGAGTTCCTCCTCAGAATCGGTGTAGAAAAGCAGGTATGATGTCTTTGCTTGTGATCTCAGCCCCTGGGGAGGCAGAGAAAGGCAGGTCCCTGGGGCTCGAGATGACTGAGCAGACTCTCAGAGATGATGCCTGTGAGCTTGACCAGGGGCGTGTAATGAATATGGGAAAGGAAAGCAGCTGGAGACAGTGCATCCAAGGAGTTCCCCAGACATTAAGTACATGCATGCATTCACAGGCATGATTATAGTGACATCGCCGAGAGACAGTCTTGAGAAGGATGATTCATCACTCACAAGGAACCCCGCTAAGAGCCACTCACCAGAAGGCGTGGAAGGCAAAGGCAGTGCTCAAAGGGGGTCCTGTCGGCCACAGACACGCTGAGCAAATTGTCCTTCAAAGGTCAAAATAGACGTGTGTGTGTGTGTGTGTGTGTGTGTGTGTGTGTGTGTGTGTGTGTGTGTGTGCATGCGCACACTCCTGGACCTCGCCCTCATGCACAGGACAATATTCTTTTTTTTTTTCCTATTTTTATTTTTATTTTTATTTTTATTTTACAATACCATTCAGTTCTACATATCAGCCATGGGTTCCCCTATTCTCCCCCCTCCCACCCCCTCCCCTTACCCCCAGCCCACCCCCCATTCCCACCTCCTCCAGGGCAAAGCCTCCCCCGAGGACTGCGATCAACCTGGTAGACTCAGTCCAGGCAGGTCCAGTCCCCTCCTCCCAGACTGAGCCAAGCGTCCCTACATAAGCTCCAGGTTTCAAACAACCAACTCATGCAATGAGCACAGGACCTGGTCCCACTGCCTGGATGCCTCCCAAACAGATCAAGCCAATCAACTGTCTCACCCATTCAGAGGGCCTGATCCAGTTGGGGGCCCCTCAGCCTTTGGTTCATAGTTCATGTGTTTCCACAGGACAGTATTCTTACCTACTTCTCTATGGATAAACAGACCCACAGATGGCAGCTTGTCTAAGGGCAGTGACACACACACACACACACACACACACACACACACACACACACACACAGATTTTGCCAGCATACTCGGTGACACTGTTACTAACCATCAGTGTATGTGTGTAGCACACTTGGATATACGGCCTGACATGTCGTAAGCACTCAGAAAAACCACTGTTATCAGACTCCATAGAAGATTAGGCCTCAGATCATGCTGTTCGCCCACCTAGAGGCTGGTGCTTGTGCTCAGGTTTGCCTGACTTACCTCCCCGTAATCTGCCTGCCCCTCTGTTCTCTGGATGTTCTGCACCCAGGACCTTCACGCAGGCTAGCAGTCTCCAGCTTAGTTAGAACCGTTCTGTATATGTGAGAAATAGCTGAAACCAGCGTGGCAGTTGGCATTTAGTTAATTTTGAATGAAGCTGTTGATTGTTTGAAACTCTGTTCTTACCTGTGATCAATACGTTTTCTCTAAAGAAATTAACAAAACTAATTCTTTAGTAAGAAATGTAGTCACCTGTCCAAAGTATTTCACATAAGGAATAAATATGTGAGGTAAATCTTTATTGCGTACCGCTTTAGCCACAGTCGTTGGTAATGTGTGGAATCACACACTTAGGGGAGAAAGCCGACTCCTTGTCAGCATTGGAGCTAAGTTTGGTTTTGGTTTTTTGTCTTGTTTTTTTAATTATGCCTTATTTTGTCTGACAAGTAAGTTAGATACTCTTCTAATAGTGGTTCTGGAGCTGGGGTAGCATTGAGTGACTCGTGTGCAAGTGGATTAAGAAGTACACTGATGTTTGACATGGTAATGTTCTAATGGCCGGCGCTAACCTCCACCACAGGTGTGCTCGGGAGCAGAAAGGAATCAGGAAATCCTGGGCTCTGAGGCCTGAGCCTCACCTTAAGGGCTGTGGTCTAGGTCAAGTGCACATTCAGTTTTCAGCATTAGCTTTGCATAAGTGTGTATAAGTGAACTGTCTGTGAAGGAAGCAGAATACTGTGGAAAGAGCTGATGAGAGAGCAATTGCTAAACCACAGGAGTCGAGAAGGGAGTGAGAAAGGGACAGACAGGAAGGCCACTTACAGGATTACATTTCATGCCCTTCAAAGGCCAGCATTGCCCATGATGAGACCTTTATTCTACAGGTTCTATAAGCAGAGTCTCTAATTGTCCTGAAAAAAATAAAGGATGAAAATGCTTAAAAGTCCAAATGAATTAAAATTAATCATAGCAGATAGATCAATGCAAACACTTTACAAAATAAAATATTCCTCCTTTAAGCAAATACTTTCATTAGCTTAGAAAAATCACCATCTCTAATGTATAAAGTTAAGTTCCAGATTCTCTGGCCCGCTACGCCCTGCACTCTGACCTGGGTGGTTGCCTGGCCAGCCGTCTTCACACCAAGGTAGGTGAGACACACAAATGTGGGAAACGCATAGATTTACCCCAGTGTGCCCATAGATGCTATTTCAGAGATGAGAGAGAGGGTAGTTACAGAGGAGAACACAGCGTCCATGTACCCATCACCTAGTAACCCAGCAAAACAGTAGTAGATG